TTACATAACTAGATTATTATTGTAAGACCTTAACAGAGTGATCCAACACCAAAACACTGGCAATGTCAGCCATCACAACGTACATAGCACAAAATGAACGAACTAACATTCTGCCGTTCAGCTCATGCCAGCAGATAGTGGCAACATTCATATTTCTCAAATGGTTTAATACCCAAGCTGCATGACTAGGAACAAGCTACAAAAACCTGTGGGCTAGCATATTCTCCTTGTGTCTTCCCACACTATAAGTAGAAGTTCGGAAGTTTTTGCTTCCACTGTTAAGCTTTTATTTCATTTATTAAATGTTTATTCTGCCTGATCACAGCTTGCCGTGTTATCTGGACACAGAATGGCCATTGACATAAAACTGACCATAGTTTAAAAAGACACCATGGTCTGAAGCAGACTTGTTTGCAACAAACCATAATTAAAGGTAAAGTACGGACAGCACAACAAACCGCAAATTATCATTCCCTTATGTGTTCACATTATTAGCACAAGGTCTCAAGGCAATTTGCATTAATACAGCAGAAATATACAGAATACATACAATACAATTCAAACAGACTAAAAGTAGTTGTACTGAAAACAGTCGCACAACACAACAGTATAATCCACCATTAAAACAAACCAACAAACCCCACAGGCAAAGTGGAGGCAAGGGCTTCCAAAATCCTGCCCCCATGTGGAAGGAGGTATGAGTTGCACACTGCTCCTGCATATCGTATTAAACCATGGTTTAGTGTGACAGGCCAACATGGCTGCTTACTTCAGTTGTGAACTCCTGCTTTTGTATAATTCTCAAAGGAAGTTTCGTCCTTACATTAAGGCAAAGAGGCACAGACCTCCTTAATTTTTTCTTCATGGGATCATTAGCAGACCGGAGCTATCTCTTCCTAGGATGCCTGTGTCAGTTGCAAAGCAACAACTATATCCTCCTCTACAGAGTGGAGAATTCCAGAAAATCTTCATACATTTTTCATCAATGAACATAATCCTCCTTTGGCAGGGAAAACTGAGAGATGCATTCTTATCAAAAACAGCCACATGTAAACAGAAGTAAGAAAAAACCCTCAAATAGCTCTCATAGGAGCCCTTTGTTCTTGTGCGTACAGCATTCTCACAAACTTGGGGGAACGAATCCATACAAGGATAGTGGCTTTTAAAATAATCAGTAAAACCAAGTTGACGTTTGTTAGAGTGGTATGTTTTATTCATGTAAATATGCTGACATAATCAGGAAGCTGAACTGAACTGCACCCTCAGAAAAAAGGTATGTGCACAGGTATGTGCTTAATTTTACCTGCATGAGTAAAGCGACTCACAATGAACTCTCGCCTGTGTACAAACAGATGTTGCTTGAAAGGCTGGGACCTCAATGCCAGTTGTCAAGCCTGAAGCTCAGGGTATATACAGCAATTCAGATATACTGGCCAAGAAGCAACAGCTTGAATGCAGGAGCTAATAGACTCTTCCCGCCCCCTTAAAGTCACTCCTGAGTGTTTAACCAAAGCCTAAAAATAGAAAAATGCTGTTACCTCCTATTTAAGCTGCAAGTAACCTGCTGGTCTGCTAACTGTATTAACAGCTCCCTAGGAAGCTTCACTTTAATCCACAAGCGAAATCACTAACTCCTCAAGTAACTATAGTGAACTACAGGGCAAAGAGCTACTACTAAAGTGGGAAACTATGGCAATAAGTAAGCTGGGCAAAACTCATCTAGCTGAAACTTTATGAACCCCTTTGCTCAACCCTGCAAGTTTGATGCAATGACAACAGTATGCCAGGAGCAGCTTTGCTTAGTCCAGGGGATAAGGAAGGTTTCCACTAAGCATGAAAGAAGGAAAGGCCTTTGCTATCTTACTTTCCCGTGGTTTCTAAAGAGAAAGCAGAACCTCCCAACCAGATTCCTAAGGGTCTTAGATGCTGCTTGGTAGCCCTTTTGCCAGTACAGTTCTCATACACTAAACTAAGCCAGCAGACCTTCATCCACAGAAAACCTGTGTTAAATGGACTACTGGGGTCCCAATTTTAAGAGGATGGATATAATACAAAACCTATTGAGCTGTGTGTGGCATCTTCCAAAAAGCACTCAAGAGTGTATGGGATGGTGGGCTCGGTGATCCATCCTCCTCCTCTGGTTTCTCTTTGCTCAGGCCAAAGGCTAGCTTTATCAGCATCCTGTTCACACAGTGGCCAACCAAATGCCCATGGGAAGCATTAAGAAGGACCTAAACACAACTGGATTCTGCTCCCTTGCAGCCCCCAGAAACTGGTATTCAGAGGCATTTACCTCCTTTGACAGTGGAGATGAAACATGGTCACCCTGGCTAATAGCCATCAGCCCTAACCTCCATGAATTTATCTAATCAAAGCCTCCGAGTTGGGTAGCCCTCACTGCCTCCTTTTGGAGTGAGCTGTATAGTTCAATTATACGCTGCATGAAGTATTTTCTTTTATCAGTCCTAAACCTTTGAACACTTCACCTTGCCAATGTCCAGAAGTTCTAGTGTTATGGGGGGACAGGACTTTTCTCTATCCCCTTTCTCCATGGCATACATAGTTTTATAATCTTCTATCATGTCATCTCTTACTTTTTCTCTAAACTAAAACTGTTAGAAAGTATAGTTAAAGATACAGTAGCCAAGCATATAGAAGAACAAGCCTCGCTGAAGCAAAGCCAACATGGCTTCTGCAAGGGCAAGTCCTGTCTCCCAAGCCCATGGTGTCAACAAGTGTATATAGATAGAGGAGATCCAGCTGACATTGTGTACTCAAGACATTCAAAAAGCTTTCAATGAGGTACCTCATAAAAGACTGAGTAAGCTTACTGGTCCCGGAATGAGAGGGGAGGCTCTCTTGTGCATCGGGAATTGGTTAAGTAGCAGGAAACAGAGAGTAGGAAGGAGTAGACAATTGATCACCTTATTCTCCAGGAGTTTATCTAATACTGTTGAAAGAACGTAAGGCAGAGTCCTCTTCTACTAGATATGCACCAGTAAGGTACTCAAACCCATTAACAGCAATGGGATATTTGAAGCCAATTGTCAGAATGAGGGCTTCTCCAATGAAAACTAAAGACCTAGAATAAATTATGTCTAACTGCTACAGTGGGTACACACTGCATGCTCTTGTTGTAAGTATAAAGTATTTTAGAGCCAATTCAGAGATTACATTATCTTGACCTGAAAATGAATGCAATGCAAATTACACAAAAGGAAACAGAAAGCCAGCAGGTAAGTGTCATCCGGATTAGACCAGAGAAAGTTAAAATCCATTCCTCTGGCACTTTTAGCTGTCAAATATGCTTCCATCAGGAATCACAGTTGTTACACTAGTCCGATCCTGCTTTTAAAACAATCTTGCAGGTAAGCCACATTTAATCAGGACAAGCATTTTACAAGACTCTCTGCACAACTACCTTGCAACTACAATAATAAAACTGTGGTTTTTTGTGGCCTGTCACTGCTTTTACTTATCTTAAGTTAATTCAAAAGGAGCATTGCTCTGGATTAAATTAAGATCCATCTGGAACACCCTTCCAAAAATGCAACTCAGAGAGACATGTATGATAACAATGCCATAAGTACTGAACATCCATGGCTTCAAACTAAGCCAAGATCAAGAATCTTACATGCTCATGTTTGCAGTGAATGAACCGACTAATTGCACAGGTTAGGGTTTTCAGACCTAGTGCCTATCATAACATCAGCATAATATAATGTATTTAAAAATATTTATTAAAAATATGGTAATTATGAAACCCTGAGAAAAGATCCAACTTTGATTTAAGTTACCTTTATTCTCATAAGTTCAAGATTGCACTATTTCTGTTTGTTGTTCTTTGAAAGGTAAATATGCTTAGTTCATATCCAAAGCTTATTTTCACATGACTAGTTTAGGCCTTCATCTTCCTTCTTTTGTAAGAAATACATAATACTAAAAAGCTACAAGTCATCGTACAGAATTAAAGGACCAAGATTTTAAAAAAAGTTGCTTTTAAAAGTTTGATTATATTAAGCAACACTCGAAGGGATAGCATTTGGTTTAAATGAAGTCTGGATTTAATATAAGGACCCAAAATATTAAAAATCTACCCTGGCTCTCTTAAAAGTTAATTCAGAACCCTCTATCAATCAGTTAAAGCCTGATTCTCTTGGTAATCCAACTTTTTGTACAGTATTTGTTATTGTGCAAACTATGAATCTTTAGGCTGTTCTCCAAACAGTATGGTCATTTGATGTCTCTATTCCACTACCAGATCTTATACCTAGAAAGCATGGGGCACTTAAAGTACAGTCCTATCCATGTGTTCAATGATGCTCACTTCCTAGTAAACAAATCTTGCTTAGAATTAAGATGGCAGCACAAAACAGAAATCCTTCATTTCACAACTCCCTAGTCTATGAATGTAAGTTTTATACCACAAAAAGTCTGTGGGCTAGGTGGCAAGAGAGCCTGTGCCTAAACTGAACAAAGCCAGATTTTTGTTACAAACCGGTATGTTTTAACTGTGGTGGCAGCCAAGGAATGTGCATGCTTGTTCACTGATTTTCTAAAGTTTCCTATTTAATTCAGATTTTGTTTTCTTGGAGAAAGAAGTCACCTTGATTTAAATAAAGACAGTCTGCAATTCATTTAAAAGTCAATGGGATTTTATCCTGCTTAGCTTACTTAATAAAAAGTTTATTAAGCATTTTGGAAAGGAGGACAAGTGACAAATTACAGCTTCATTTACGAAGCACATGGGACTAGGGAACAACTACCACGGAATTCAATAGAACTTACTTCCAAATAAACACACTTAGGCTACCGCTCTAAGAAAGTGATTCACTGATTTCTTGCAGAGGCTTGTTTAACTCCTACCATGATGCAGCAGTCTTTGGAGAACATGGCCAGACATGGCTGGCTCTTACATTTCACAAATTTACAGAATTGTAGAGTTTCAAGGGACCATGAGGATCATTTAGTCCAACCCCCTGCAATGCAGGAATCTTTTTTGCCCAAAGTGGGGCTCGAACCCACAACCCTGAGATTAAGAATCTCATGCTCTACCAACTGAGCTATTTTCAAAAGCAGAGTTTCCATTTGCAACGTAAGACATGTCAACACAAGGTCTCTAAGGCTGACCAGTCAGAAACCAAGGCAGACCATCACCCAGAAAAAAAATTCTCGTTTTAATTTGCTTTTTAAAATAAATCCCTCTCCAAGGAAAAGTTGAGCGGAAGCCACATAATGAACAAAAACTGGCCCCAATAAAGATATTATTATTTTACTCTCCCTGCAATGTTCTCTGTTAATGAGCTGATCTTTAAAAAACAACTTAAACTGGTGCCATAAATGTTGGAACGTATAGTTAAAACAGAAAAGTACGGTCCTATATCTCTACTCAGAAGTAAGCCCTGCTGAGTCCAATGCGACTCTGTTAAGTGTCCCCAAAATCTTGATGAAGAATGTTAAGTGGACAGTTTTACAAGGTGCTTTTGATGGTCTTCTTCCCCCTGGACGATGAGGATGCTGGCAATCCACAAGTGGGGCTGCTGCAGAACACCTCCCTGCTCCAGAAGCAGAAAAGAGGAGAGCTTAGGCACCTCGCTTGCACAGCATCCTTCAGCTATTTCAGTGCCATGGCTGCGAGAAGGCCAAGAAAGAAGTAGGGTGACAGGCAGCAGGACAAAAAGACTAAAAAATCCAAAGGACAAAAGGATACAGTTTCTCTTGTTAGCAGTCCTTAGGAGGCTTCAGGAGACCACATGCAATACAGACGCACATCTCGGCAAGTACAAGAGGGGTGCCAAAACTTCCCAAAGGAGAGTCTGCTCTCTTCTTTTCTTTAAATGCCCATTTCAGCAGTTCTGAGGCCATCAATATTAAAAACAAGTGCAAGAGATACTGGAGGCAGCCCTACCCCACTGCTGGATGCGGCCTAGCTCACAAAGCAATGACACTCCTGGATTTGGAGTTTTGTTGCATTTGCAGGCTTTAGCTGTGTTATCTCTCTCTATAAACCAGACTTGCAAAGCAACTGATGCCCAGCAAATAGCATCCAAGTCACCCCTCAGGCTTATTTAATTAACTTCTCGGGGAACGTGAAAGAAACAAGAAACAGACCCAACCTACATGGTGCTAACATCGCTGCAACACCAAACAAGCAGATTATTAAACTGGGGAGGGGGAAAAGATGGGCACTGGCATTAAAAAAACTTAAAGCAATAGCTATGCCATTGCAAGAGAAACCTATTTTAAGAGTGAAGAATATGTTAAAGGGGTGGGGCACGGATGGTACGGAGGGGAGAGAAAGGAGAGAGGTAACTGAAGCCCTTGGCCAGGGCAATGTGCAGAAAACTGTCATCTAAAACTGATAGACGTGACGTTTCTGGATGCAAGAGGGACGCTGCACCTGGAGAAAAGGAGTTGGAGGGTGGGGGCGGGGGGGTGGACAAGAGAGATTCAGGGAGGCCGGGGTGGACTTACATCTCCCCACTAACAGGAGAGAGAGAAAGTTGGGAGGCAGAAAGGCAAGAAGTGCCATGGCAACTTAGGAGGCCGGCAGAAGCCGCAATGCTTAAGGGAAAACTCCGGGGAGGCGAGGTGGGGGAGAGAAATCGAGAGAGCAAAGAGGGATGTGCTGATGCCCCACCCCTCAATGAAGGCAGGCAGGCAGGCAGGCAGGCAAGCAAGCAGGGGAGCCGGCCCTAAGTGTTCTAGAACGAGCCGGGCTCCGTTCTCCTCCCCCGGATCATGGAACGTTGCAACAAGAGGAAGCGAGATGAAAGCGGCGCTGTGCAAAGAGCCGGTGCCTGAAGCAGGAGGAAGTCAAGTTTGCAGCATCGGGCACTGCAGTGCCGGGCGCATCCGCCGCAATGAGAGCCTCTGGGCTGGGGAAGCTCGAAAAAAAAAAAAGCCGGTAGGCCCCAAAGCCGGCTGACGAGGCATCCCCGGCATCCCCCCCGCCTCCCCCTGAGCCGCCGCTCCCTGCTGCACGCGCCACTGACCGATCACCTCCTGCAGCTCGTAGGCGTCCCGGCAAATGGGCCAGCCGACGGCGGGCGGCGCGGGGGTCGGGGGCGGCGCAGCGGGCGCCGGCTGGGTCTGTTGCACCGGCGGCTGGGGCTGGGGCGGGGGCTGCTGCGGCGGCGGCGGCGACGGCTGCGGCGACGGCTGTTGCTGCTGCTCCTGCTGCTGCTGGACGTGAACGGGCGAGTCGCTCTGCTCCGCCATGATGCTGCCGGAGCGCTCAAGCGGCGGCGACCTCCTTCAAACTTCTCTGCCAGCAGCACCTTTAACCCTCATCCGCAGCTCGCTCATCCACTCCCTCCCTCTTTCCCATCCTTCCTGCCAGCCAGCCAGCCAGCCGCGCGGTGGGGGAGGGAGCGCACCGAGGGGGCGGAGGCTGAGCTGCTGCTGCTGCTGCTACACGCGTTAGAAGCAGGAGTAGCCCTACGCAGTCGAGAGCCGGAATTGATCCGCTTGGCACAAACCATAATATTGAGGAGGGATAGTTGCTCAAAAGAAAAAAGAGAGGGGGGGTAAAACCAGCCCTCCCGGGAAGGAGGTTTGCAAACGACGCTCCTCCTCTCCGCCGAGAGGATGGGTGCGATCGTAACGTTTAAGGGGCCCGATCCTCTTCTTGTGCATGCTTACTCGGAAGCAAGTCCCAGTGACTTCGGAGGGACTTCCTCTCAAGCAAGTGCACAGCCTCGTTGTGGGAATGAGCAGGTCTCTGGGCATCGCAGGCAGGGGTTTTTATTTTTTTCCGTTTCTTTTTGTTACTATTATTACTTCCGAGTCAGCAGGCATTGCATTCTGCTGCATAGGAAGGCGATGGATGAGAGGAGCGGTTTTATGCGGTTTGTGACTCTTCGTCGGTTCCAAAAACGGGAGCCAACCAAGCATTTATTTTTCCCTGCCATGCGGCCCTGATCTGTTCAATTCAGATCGGTGACTGTTCAATACACTTCTTAAACATCCTGCCGCACACAAGGAGGGTCGCAGAGGAGCGGATAAAAACTTTCTTGTTATATATGGATAATCAAAGCCGGACGTTATAAATCCAAAACGTTTGCAAGAAAGGGACTACAGGGTGACTGTTACCTCTCAGGTTACCGGAGCACAAAAGCTTCATCTTGGTTCCTGCCCACTGTGGTTTGGGGATTTAACTTGTGAAAGATGCCTGTACAGTATGTACTTTATACAGTAACTGTACGTACAAGGTTACTTTCCGGAGCAGAGGAGGCTGGTGTGGACCATTTAACATGCGTAACATAATGTATTATACACAATAAATGTTGGGTTTTCCCACAGGACACCCCCTAGTTAGCAAACTCCAGTGTTTGCACAGTTGAACAGCAATAAAATGGAAGGAAGATTTTGCATTTAGTATGTGATTGTGCATTTATTCTGCAAGATATGCAGTGCCAACATTATGCAGAAATTTGAGATTGATATTAAAGTCGACCATACTACAAGCCTCAGTACTCTGTATATGCTGAGTTTGAAACCTAGGCCTCACAAACTTGCACAGTATGTCACTGTTTTCATAAGAGACAGTGCAAATACCTTTTTTTAAGTCTGGGAATGTTGTTAACAGCACTTGGGCCATTTTTTAAATCAAATGTACATTTCTGACAATGTACCTTTTCCCATTAAATTTATTGGTGCTAACATTCAGGAACTTAATAGTTTGTGGCAGTTCTGTTTAAGATTGTTCATGTGACAGAGTAGGTGTCTCTCATTTTCTTTTTGAGTGAATCATTCCTACTCGTAACTTTCAAGAAGTGATGATTCACATCGCACTGTGTTCGTTTCCCCTAAAAATCCCCCAGTCCAATAATTCCATTTTCTTGTAAGTTACCTTTTCTGCCTATAGTCACCCATTAATTCCATCTTCTTTCCATTCAGCCCACCCAGCTCTCATTTAAATTAATTTATTTGCAGGTCTTGAATTACATTGCTGTGATAAATATACTATAATAAAGATTTTCAGGAAAATTACTGGTATGGCACCTGAATTTAAAATTTCCCACTGCTCACATGCTGGAGGAGCTGTAGCCATGCTCACAGATGAGAATCTATCACAGTATTATTATTTCTTTTACGCAATAGGAACCATACAGAAGCAGACACTGCAGGAAGTACAAGGGTCAACGCAGGAACACGTTGCCAAATCCAAGGCACAGGCTTGGCAATGAGAAACAATAAAGAAAAACGCTTCTTACAATATAGATGCAGATGTAGAGTCAGCCATCCCATACAGGGATCAAACTTGCAACCTTAGCATTACCAGCACCATGCTCTAACCAACTGAGCTATCCATATGTCTTCATGGTTGAGTAATATCAACAAAATGCCATGTCTTTAGGATCAGAGGAGAAGCTTTCTCGATCAGAGGGTAAGTGACGCGAGCAACCAAGATATTGCTGTGTGGCAGATGTCTGCATTTGGCGATGAAGTCTGTACATGAAATAGTATAACTTTTGACAGACAGACTACGAGAAAAAGACAACAGTGACTTTGAAAAAGAATGGGAACCATTTAGATTATATCTGCAGAAACAAAGAAAGTATAGACTTGATGGCAGGATTTAAATAAACATTCACATCATTAGTATTATAAAATGTGTAGAAGATAGGGAAATAATATGGTGTACTTATTTTCATTTTTATGTTTTTAGGTTAGATGTTATTGTATAAGTATACCATTAGTATTTTTTCTTTTAGGAGGTAGCAAGGTGGGTGAAAGGAGAAACAAACCAGAAGCGGAAGTTGAGGGAAGCCTAGGAGGGGAGGGAGGAAGGAAGGAATAGAAAATGTTATGGGTATGAGATGTATGTAATGAATGAAAAAGAAAACTGAATAAAAATGTAATTAAAAAAAATAGTATAACTTTGTTTAAAAATATTGATAAAATATAAGATGCCTGTGGAGTTCTAGGAGCTTAGTACTAATCTGCCTTTGTTTATTCCTAGCATAGAAATCAGTTACACAATTGCACATATAACGTGGTCATATACAGTGGTACCTCAATTGCACCGCATGTGTGCGCAGAAAGGCACCCCGGTTACGAAGTTTTCGGAAT